TTTATCATATGGCACATTCACATTGCAATTCAGTAGAATAAAAATGCAAGAGATTAAATACAAAATATGAAATATAAAATATAAAATTATATGTCTAGATTACAAATATAATTTTTTACTTCATTTGTCGCAGCCAGGAAATCAACGAAATCTCTATTATAGGCTCTGTTTTGGTACTCAGTCACTATATGTTGGATAGTTTGTTTTTCAGCCCCACAATCACAATTCAGTGATCTTATTTTGCCCCACTTATAAAGGGCATCTGCACACCTACCAAGGTCCATGTGAATGTTGTAATAGCAAGTGAGAACAAGTGCAAACATCACAGGGAGGGGAACCCCAAAAGGGGGGGGAAAAAACTTTTTGCTTTTTTTTCTCTCTGCCTTGGGCTTTTATTCAGCTGCCTTGTGATTGTGGGATGAGGGGTAGAAAGATGCTAGTGCCTTTCACTCTGAAGTCAGTACAGGCCCTTTGCTTCACTACCCAGTCTTTCAGTCAAAGCCAAGAGACATCTACCTCCTACACTTAAGGCCATTTATTGGCACAGAGCAATTGGCAACTGCCACCACAATATTGTTTCCCACTTAGGAATGATGAGAAAGCACCTACTTATGTGGAAAACTGGGAGTTATACAGCAGAAGAAATATGCGTGGCTGGGGTAAAATGAAGAATGAATTTGTTCAAACATGTGTAAGAGCTTAGATTCAAGCCTACTCCATGGTGGCATGGATGATGAAGCATGTTTACTTCTCCACTCCTACTGCATGCACAGATAGCCACCCAGCAGCATTATTTAAAGTGATCTGGTTCCTAATAAGGAAAACCAGGCCAGAAGATTGTCTACTCAGCTTTTGTGATGAATTCACTCAGCATCTGAGTAGAGTTCCCAATTGGTGAACTATAATCTATTTTAATCCTGATTGTCTTTTAATGGTTTAGGTTTGTTTTAGTGGTATGTGTTATTTTTCTTTTGTATATTTATTTAATGGTTTTGTATGCCACCTGGAGTCATGTTTGAGTTGGGTGGCAATATAAATTTTCTAAGTAATTAGAAAAGTAAATAATGTATTATTTATTTAAGTAATTAAATAAACCTGAAGGATAATACTCACTTAGAGTTGGCTCACCAAGTCCAGCTGAGACCATGGAGGACTCGTGAAGTCATTTGGGATCAGTTTGTACCTGTAGTCCTTGAGGAAGTGGATAATCCATGTTTGTGTATTAGATCCCTGCCCTACTTGGTTAGTGAAAGCTGTAGAAGGGTGACAGGAAGCTGAGTGAAGGAGGAGGTGAAAGCTCCTTGAGTTAAGGGGTTTGTTCCTCCCTCCTTGAAAAGACAGTAATAATATATCTCCTCCACAAGAAGCCATAGCTCAACCTAGCTGATTTGGATGGTTACCAACAAATTTCCAATTTTTCCTTTTTTAGAGAAAAATTCAGAAGATTATAGGTTTGCAGCTATGGAGACCCCTGGATGAAACAAATTATGTGGTCCATTTTCAGTCAGGATTCAGGCCTGGGTATGGGACTGAACTGCAAGGTCAACTTGTTGATAACCTTTGGTGGGACTGCAATAGGTGAATTACAAATTTTCTGGTCCTGCTGGATTTTGGCTGCCTTCAGTACCACTGACTGTGGTATCCTTCTAGGCCAGCTAAGAAATACAGATAGGTGAACCACTCAGTTCCATTCATTTCAATGTTGGTTTGTATTTTAACTTGAAGACTTACTCATCTTTAAGCCACAATTATTACAACAGGTTTATGAGGTGCCTCTAGACTGCAATTTATCATTCTTTTCACTTCCTATTAATATGTGAAATGGAAGATACAGTTCTTCTAGACCACATCTTTTCTCATTTGCTTTTTTACCATAATTAGTTATCAATAGTTGAGATTATATTGCTTGTTTAAAGTCACTCCTAGTTAAAATTGAGTGCCATTATTTAAATATACTTAATATGATTATTGCTAATATTATTATTTGATTCTTTTTTCTTTTTCTCTTCTCCATACAGACTAAAGCCTTTGAACTAACCTACCTTGAGAAGGTTCCTGAAGTCAAAGACACAGTCCATAAACAGTCTCTTCTTCATCATGTATGTACAACTGTGGTGGAAAAATTCCCAGATAGCACAGATCTTTATTCTGAGATTGGAGCCATCACTAGATCAGCCAAGGTATGTCAGTTAATGCAAGGAAATCCTCTAGTAGCAGGGTACATTGTCATAAGGAACATAAAATGCTTTACATGCAACGTTTAAATTTTGCTTTTCTATCAGTTTTCTCAAATCACCCTTGTAAACTTAGAAATACAGTTGTTTTACGTCATTCACTGTAATTTTTAGATCACAGAAATTTTCCTTTCCTTTTTCTCTTTAATAGATTCCTGATAAAGTTTTTAATATATGGTCTATTCTTTTAATCTCAAACTATTACAGTGTTTTGAAATTCAATAAATTGTCAATATATTATCAACAAAAACAACAGTTTACAAAGATGGCAAAAGGGCAAAAAGAAAGAAACAAAACTCAATTCTTTTGGCTCAGTCTTCTTGAGAAGAGTATATGTGCTCCTCTAGGCAATTGTGGTGACCTGGTTGAAGAAGCAAGACTCCATCTTGAGTTTGAGAGATACATGTTCAGGGAATATCACTGATTTTAGGTGATTTAAAATAGCACCCAGAGTTCTGGGGGGATTCGTTGATAGTCTGGCCAGTCATCTATTATCTTTGAGAAATCCTGGAGAAAGGGTGACATGAGCTTACATGAGAAAGGCAAATGTCGCTACCTCCAACAGAGAGGAAAAGGAGATCCCGTAAATTACAGACCAGTTCATCTGACATCAAAATCCTGGAAGATTATACAGTAGATCATAAAGCAATCTGTGTATAAGCACCTTGAAAACAATGCAAAAATTATTAGAAGTCAGCATCAGATTATGAAAAACAAGCCTTGTCAGATTAGTCATACAGTACTTATTCTTTGCGTAAGTAATGCATTGCAGGAATGTTATAGGCACATTATGTCTTGACTTCAGTAAAACATATAACATTATATTCGGATTACCAAGTTAATTAAATAAGGGCTCGTTGGCATATCTATTAGGTAGAGCCACAACAGATTTAAAAACCACACTGAAAGAGTGTTTACTGATGAGTGGATTGCTAATACCCTTGAAAAAAAAATTAAATTACAAATGATCTCAATAATTAAAGTGTGATGTAGTTCTCTGTATACCTAAGAAAGGGGGGAGTGAAAAGACAAATGGATTTCCTGAGGGTTATGTGTACAAGACTGAACATACATTTTGCTCAGTATGGATTCAGTCAGGTAGGGAAGAAGTTTCCCTTTTATCTCCAAGAGTCTCAACAGGGAGAGCCAGGTGCTGTGAGGCAAAATTTTCTTTATACAAAACAAAGGTGACAGGAGGGTTATAGAGTAAGAAAGTTATGCCTTATTCGATAACACACCCACCTCTTGTTCTGTGAGCTAAGAATGTCAAAGATATGAAAAGCTGAAAGTTAATGCAAGAAAAAAAAAGTCCATCTGACCTGGCATTGTGTGAGTCATGAAAATATGAGTAATATGAGAAGTTTCTAAATGTACCAAATTCCGGTGGTGAATTTGGACCTTGATAAAGTGTTCCACCATTTCTGGAGAGCACCAATGCTAAAAGGCTTCTTTGATAGCCAAAAACCTTTTGTTAAAAATAATCATGGTTCCTTTAGCCTGGAAGGAGTTAAAAGGAAAAGGAATGCATGTTAACACTTAACATAATGTTTTTAATGAAATTTTAATTTTATAATACTTTAATTTTAAATCTTAAAACTTTAAATATTAATTTTAAAATTTAAAATTTACATTTTAAATCTTCTTTAAATCTTCTTCACTCAGTATATCCTATTTGTATTTCTTAGCAAAACACACTATTTTGAAAAGTGAAAACTAACAACTAAATGAATAAGCAAAATAAAATTTTGAATAAACAAAATAAAACTGAATAAGCGTATTACCTCTATATTTCATTTGGGGATTTTCTAGTGCAAAGTTTAAAGTATTATAATGACTTTCTACATCTCAATGTAGATTATACACTAAATTAGCTGTTAACTGAGAGAACATAGTCATTTAAGATGGTAGGTTTTAAACATTATTTATAGTGGAAAGCCACTTCAGGTGGCCACCAATCTGAGTAGAAGAGGAGTGCTGGATACTACTATTATATCCTTTTTTCTGCTACCTACAATTCACTGAAAATCTTCCAACCAGAGTTTTATAGAATCCTATGAAGTAGCTTGAGATGGGATATATTATTTTTAAGCTAAGCAACACTACAACACTTCTTGCAATTAATGATTGTGGCATCTAAAACTGCTTATTTTTAAAATTCTCAAGAAACTGTGTATCTCTAATATCCATGTTGGTTTTGACTCAGCAGAAACCGTAGTCTCACAATTAGACATTTCTTGAAAAATATATTTATGAAGATCTGACTGCCACTTGTTGTCAAGTAGCAAATATGCTTAATTGTAAATATGCTTTCATTTTCTGTATGAGTTAGGGATTGAAAGAACTTAAAATGTTCACATTAACAATTTCCTTTCAGGGTACAAAATGAATTATATTTTGAAATGACGTAGGGAAAAAATCCAAGTGCAATAGAATTTTAAAAGAAAAAAGGTGTTAGATTTGCTAGGTGGCTGCTGTTTAGTGTGCTTTTAGACATAATTTGATGCATTTAAGGCAACACATAGTGCAAGCTTGTATGTATCTAATCAGAAGTAAGTCCCATTGAATACAATAGGTCTTATTACTATTTAAGTTGTTACCAGTATTCATAATGCAGTGTTAAGTGGAGACTCCATTATCACAAGTATTATCTTAGCCACTTGAGAATTGGAATCTTATCTTGGGAAAATTTCAGAATTACCACAAAATATTCATTCATTCATTCATTCATTCATTCATTCATTCTATTTATTTATTTATTTATTTATTTATTTATTTATTTATTTATTTATTTATTTAAAAGATTTATATGGCCTCCTATCTTAAGCAAATTGTTTATGTATGTGCGCCTAAGAAACATAAATATAAGGAGGAATGTATGTAAGTCAAGAGAAAAGTCAGCACATGATGCTAAAGTCCATTTTCAAACCTAAACTGTAGTTAGGGGTCAGGATGTTTACATCTAGTGGCTACTGTTATTGAAGTAACATGTCATTTTCATTAAAAGTGTGCCTTGAAAGAACAGGTTAGGGATAGATCATCATGGAGAAAATCTCTGTGGTTGCTAGAAGTTGAAAATGATTTGATGACACATAATCAAGTATTAAGAACATTGGTACAGATATAATAAAATAAGAGTATTTCCATATAGAATCTGCACCACTGCAAAAGTACTTCCATGCTTGTGTAAACTCATGCCATCAAATGTGTTTAGCAAAGCTGATGTATTTCTCCTTCAGCTGTGATGTATCTAGAATCTCAAAAGAGGCTGTATTTTCTGCAGATCTTGTGAATGATCTGTTTTCTCATTGGTAAAAACATGCTTCATCCTGATTCATAGCTCTTGGGCACAAGCCAGTTTCTCCCTCTTCCCCATAGAAGTTCAGCTATTGTGGCATAATGCTGAAACCCTATCATTTCATTGGTCTAAATGGAATAATGATTTGATGCCTTAGCATCTCCCTCATATAATCATTTTATTATGGAAAATCACCAAGAAAACTCGCACAATAAGAAGTTAAAAAAAAAAAATAGGGGGTAGATCACTGACTGAATATAGTACCATTTTTTTGTAGTCTGAACAGAGTGGAAGGATTACTGGAAGGATGAAAAGATTGGTTCAGGCTAGTCTCAGTGTTTCAAAGTCAGTAGCACCTAAATCTCAACCAATCTTACTATTGTTGTTTTCAGAATATTCCTGAGTTTAGTGAAAAGCGGATTTGAATCTTCCTGCATCTCAACCTCCATACATTGAATTGTCTCCCATCCCCCAAGTCTAGGTCATATGTCAAATATAAAAGTTTAGTGAATTTAGGGTTTTTTAAAATATTACTGTTTGTTTTTTTCTGCAAAAGAGAATTGGAATTTCCCTATTTAAAAGGTATATATTTGCAAGAAGATGGTCCTAATTCACTTTGAACATGTATTCAGTGATCTAGTATAATGACAAAAAATAATTTCAATTTATGTACATCCACAATCACTGCATGTGTATCTTTATGTAGTGAAATCTCACTGGCCTTTCCTGTTTTAGCATTATAAGACTATGGAGCACTGCCATCTAAACACCTTTTATGGCTAATGACCTTAAGAACATTTGTCTTGTTTATTTTATTAAGGAATTTATTGGCTTCCTCCACATTAAACTTTATTTATAGCAATAAAATTTGTTGGCACAAAATATTCAAAATTTTAAATGTGTCTTGCAGTATGATAAATAAAAGTTAAGAAAAATAATTATGATACTTTAGTTAGTGATTTTGCCTAAGTTCTCTGTCAGCTTGAATGAAGTACAACATTTCTTCCAATTTATAATATTGGGCAAAACCAAGCACTTTTTAAAAATCTCAAATTGTAATCTGGTCATCTGTCCCTTCTTTACCTGAAGAAACTGCTAGAAAAATCTCGCTCAGGTTTATGATCCTGGCAGAATAATCATCTTCCTTTATACCAGTGTTTCTCAACCTTGGCAGCTTGAAGATGTGTGGACTTCAATTCCTAGAATTCCCCCCCCCACCCTCCTGCTTTGGGCATTTCTCGCCTGTATTATCTCACAAACTCTA